CGACGAGTCCTCGATTTTCGCCCTCTCAGTGTCGTTAATAGAGGCCAGAGCCTCCGCATCTTCACCACACACGAAGCTGCTGTCCCCTGGTCTCACACACACGATTCATCCGATTTCCCTCTCCAACTCTGCTTCCATCGACCGAGCTCCTCTCTCCCTATCCGACGATCTTCCCCTCGATCGGAAGAAAGAAACCGAGAGCTCGCTTGCTGCGGCAGACAACCTCTTCCTTCACGGCTCTTCTGCCGAACTTTCACTACTCGCGCATCCTCGATCCCCCTTCCTCTCTGTCTGAGCTCCGATCCTCCTCAGCCCGTCGCTGCTTTCTCGATCCACGTGAGGAAGACACAAGAGAGAGAGAGAGAGAGAGAGAGAGAGAAGAGAGGAGAGAGAGAGATCAACATACCCGAGCTCTTCCTCCTCGCTTTCCCGTCACTGTGTCGACGTCGCTAGCACGAGGCTCCATCTCCGACTTCGCTCCTCTCGACGATCGTTCTCTTGCCTGTAAGGATCGAAAAGTCCATAGCCATTTTTTGATCGGAAGCACCAACAGGAGCTCGCTAGCTTGAAGTTAACTTTCCTTCCCTTACTAACGCGCTTCTTTCGGGCCTATTCATCGGCCAGAACCAGAGTAAGTAAGAGAGGGAAGATGTAGTATTTTTTTGTAATAATTTTGTTATAATATTAGATTTAATTAATTATTATTTATTATTAATGTACTAATTTATTTTAGTTATAAATAATGATATATACTTAAATTTAATTACATTTCAATTTAGTAATTATAATTATATATTAGATTTAATACTTATCATGGTTTAATTAAATGATAATTGACTACATATTAAAAATTAAATTGTGTATTGATTTTAATATTAATTTAAATTTAATTCATAATTAGTTAATAATAATAATATATAATTGTAATTAATTATCATTGCTTGCTCATTGTCTTCTCCGCCTTTTTCCGCCTCGGTTCCCACGAGCATCCAACATGGTCAACCCACGAAGGTATGCCATTCTGCATAAAATCAGATACATACCCTTTATTGCGCGGGTGGAGTGAGGACCTGCCCGGTCCGATCGGCTTACGACGAGGCGGGAATCGCCTAAACTCTACTTCGGCTGTTCTGGTGCCCGGAAAACCGTCTCTACTGTCTTTATTGGGCACATGGTGGAAGGGACCCGGTGGCGGCACTTACGGAGAGGCGGGGTCACTCATAAGTACCGCTCCGAGCGGGGGGGAAGGCAAAACTGTGCATTTTTAAACAGCCACCCGATCTGAGCCCGACAAAGGTACATCTCTCGAACTCAGATTCTCGGTCCGTCTGTTTGCACGCAGACCGAAAAACTCCTATGCAATACCTTTATTGCTGCGTGGTAGGATGGGAAAGCGCCGGCTGATCGCTTACGACGAAGCGACAATCGCCTAAAACTTACTATTCGGTGTTCGTATGGCGCATCGGCAAACCACGCTATAATTCGCTTTATTGCGACGTGGTGGGATGGAACCCCGTGCGGCACCTACGGCGAGGCGGGGTCACTTATAAGTACCACCCTAAGCGGAGGGAAGCAAATTGGTTGCCATTTTAAACAGGTACTTGTCAAAGACGCCATTACACGCCTTTATGCGCGTGTGGGAGGAACATAGAAAAAAAATCACGGCCGTGGTGTCCTTGTGAGGACACCTATTCCATACACCAGCCTTTATTGGCGCATAGGTGGGAAAGGCCCAGGTTTTTTATGGTAGTTTTTCCTCTAAACGGGGGAGCACGCCGGGAGGCTGGCCGAAATTTGTCGGGTGAAGACGGACGTACTTGAACTTGAATTTGCACATCAAGGACAAAAATGAGCACCTTCGACTTGGTACTGTTGACTCAAAAAGAACAAAAATGTGGACTCAATGAATGTGGACTTCGTGGACTAAGAACCAAAACTCAAAATGATTAATAAAGATCAATTAAATCCTTGAAATACATAATGAGCTTGAATTACTTCAGTAGGACTTTGAACGCAAAAAAAAAAATAACAACAACTTGCACTGATCCGAGACTTGGAACATTAAGAACTCGAACTCAAGCAAGTATCTGAGTTGGAGTACAGGGACATAAGAAATGTCTTGCACATTGAGCTTCATAAAGTGATATGAACTGACTTGGAAGAGTTCACTTGAGTTCGAATTTAAACATCGTTGGCCCCTCAATTTGACACCAATCAACTAAACATCTCTACAGATATTCAGTGTGCGCTAACTCATGGGGGGTGGGGAATGGGTATGGGGGGAAAGCAAAATGCCCGCTACGTGCTGATAATCATTCCGATTAACGGACAGATACACATGTTCTTGCAACTAGGAGTAGGTTGATTAGCAGACTAAAGTGCAAATGTCTAACGAATGTGAAATGACCCACAGTAAGATGTAAATCTCCTACGATCAATCCCTACAGATGGCCTGTTGATTGAAGATGCAATACGGGAGACCAATAAAGAAGGATCCCGCCTTCCTAACAACAAATGCAACCACAACCCACCACGAGATTGGTGAAAGGGTGGGTGATGCAGAACACAGATCTTCTAATCAAAATACTTCCAGGAGGTCGTCGTAGAAGACATGTATCTCCTGCACATATGGAATAATTCATGCGAGGTGAATATTTCAAGGAGCAGATCTGCAATACATACAAAGCCCATCCACCCTCCGAAACAGCTGCTAGGTCGTGGACCAATTGCAAATAATACTGTAGCTCACAAGAGCCAAATGCCTAGTCGAAAATATCTACTAGGATCCATTCTCAAACAATCCTCCTTCTAATAAGGACGTGGTCGTGTCCCTAACTGGCGGTTGACGCGCCAAATGGGCAGCCGCAGATAAACGGTTATCGACCTGAGTGCGCGCTCTGAACCGAGTGTTTTGCCGCCAACTGGCACACGAATACTGGTTTTATGGCCAACGCCGTTATGTTTTCCTTTGCATCAAATCCTTGAGATATGAATCAATAGGATATGATTGATAGAGACAAGCCTTGTCAGACTAAAGTGGATTCAAAATTTGTCCCCTTAAGGCAATACCTCACAGGTCTAATACAAGGTTCCCTAGACGAAGCAACGCATGGTTTGCCGACAAGGATCTTTGTAGGGTTTGGATCGACTACCTCCTCTAACTAAGTAGCCCAGGGACCTGACGATGGCCCGGGATGTCGGAACATGGGATCTTGATCGGGGTCCATCATCCATCCCCCACCATCCCACCCTTAAGTTAGGTGGTGCAATTCTTTTTAATATCAATATCTTCCGAACAAATTCCAATCCAAAAACCCAATTCTAAATTCCCTAAATTTCCCAATCTCAAAACCTATGCATGCTACTTATATGCCTGATACTTACGTATTTCTATGGATGCACGTATTGATTGACGACTAGCTTATCAAAAGTTTCTCTCGTGATCGGGAGGGGTAATTAACTATAGGGGCTTGCGCCTATAGACAAAACCAGACCTCAAATCATAAAGTCCTCACAAAATGAGAGAGAAATCTCTGGGTAGTGGTTTTATTCTACGAAACCCATCTGCCTTCCAAATTTTACCTCGGAACTTAGTTCGTTAAAATCCCTCGGCGAATAAGAAAAGCGGGAGGCCGAGGGCCCTGGCGGAGCGGAATTTTCGGAGCCCACAATGATTCCAAATATCATTGAAGTAATAATCACTTTAATAAACAATAATGAAAATGAATTTGATTCTTTTTAAATACATCATAGAAAAAGACATATCTTGATTAATGTAGAGATAAAATGAGCCAACGTGGTTTTTAATTTCCTTCAACGTAGAAAATACTAACAAAATAATGCAGAAATGACTAATTAATATATGAATAATTGATTTTTTTTTTTTGGGGGAGAAAACCAGCTTGAGATTGGAAATTTTAGTTATTATGGAAA